GGAAGGTTGATGAACTGTGATCATGACAGGCACTCCATTAGCCGCTAGATCCTTGAGTACCTTCACAGTGGTAGTAGCGGCATAGGAGTCGAGACCAGTAAGAGGCTCGTCCAAGAATATCATCTCTGGTTTGGTGATGAGCTCTACGCCAACCGAAGTCCTCTTCCTCTCACCACCAGAGATACCCTTGATAATCTCATTACCAACAACCGTGTCTTCGCAGTTAGTCAACTTTAATGAGTCCAGGAGATTTGATACTAACTCATTCACCTGACAGAATTCTTTTGATAGCAGAACACAATAATAGATTCCCCATATTACCTCCTCTTTACTTTGGTTATGGAGTCTGAGGTTGGCAGAAAATTCGAGAATCTCCTTGGGAGTACTCGTAGCCACTAGAGTATCATCTTGCATCACATAGGCAATCCGATTCCGGAAGTGGACAGGGTCCTCCACCCTCCCATTGAGCGACACAGCACCCTTGAAGGATCGGCCAGGACCCTTCAAGCCCTGTCTACCACCGAGCACGTTCATGAGGGTCGATTTCCCCGACCCCGACGGACCTAGCACGGCTGTCAGTTCCCCCGGTCGGAGTGTTCCAGAGCAGTCATTGAGGATCTTCTTGTCACCAACAGCAAAAGTAAGATGTGTCCACTCTAAACTCGAACCACTAAGGAAGGACGACAGTCCAATACGCGGGGCTCAGATTTAGGCAACTTACACGTCCGTGTCTCGAGTAATCGAAGGGGCGGTACCGACAGAGGCTTCACCAGCTTCCTCCAAGTCAACTTTTATGGGGCTAACAGCCATTATATAACAGAGAGTAACGATAACTATTTCACTGAGATAGTTATCACTACCGAGATCACACAATTCCCTGAACGACCGTAGAACCAGGCATAGATACTCGATGAAGCACAGTACCAGATTATTAGATCACCAATGTTCCTTCTCTGGCTCGATCAAAGCTATGCACGAGTTCAGGGACAGACCTTGGCTCAAACGGTAGTAGAATATGGCCAAACAGTAACAACCGATTGCGCTCCGATATGCTGTTCCATATGAATAACCAGTGAAATTGAATGAGACATCGAGACTCATAGTAACTGTTTTAACTATCGAGTTCATGTTTAGCGCTAGAGAAATGCCCTCGGTAGGGACATGTGACACAAAACAAACGTTTGTTTAGGCGTATCAATCTAACACGAAAATGTGAAATCGTCGAGGCGAGCGAATGCATGGCCCTGCAAAGGCGGACATTGACCTGGTAAAATGGAACTACTCGAGAGTTGTTGACGTGGTCCCTCCTGAAAACAGTGAATCCTGAAAAGGGTGAAGGGCGAGTGAACCCGTTGTAGGGACTTTTTCTCCCACTAAAGTGGGTGAAAGCCTGAAAATAGTGAACAACAAACTCGCCCGCACCGGTATCCCAAATATAAGTAATTTTTCTACCACTCCTTCCCGAACCGATTCAACTTTCAATGATCACACTCTGTCCGGTTGTCTCATTTTTGAGTAGTCACCTTGCTCGCGGCCTGGCAGTGAGCGGTTAAGAGGGCCCGTGCCAGCGCTACGGAGCACTGAGGCG